TGAAAATAGCAAAGGGCTGGGGATATAGCTCAGCACTTGCCTAACAGTCTTAAAGGACTGGGTTTAATCCCTAGGACAACAAAAAAAGAAAAGAGAAAGAGATTTTGCCTTAGGATCAGACTGAAAATGTCCATTAAGCGCCTGCCCTTTCTGAGAAGAAAACTGACAAATACGGAGGTAAGTGGGCCTTGAAGCGTATAGCGGTCAACAAAGAAACGAGAGGAAACATTTAGCTTTTCCTTTATAGTGGAAAGCAGAAAGGTCCTCTGTTCCCTCCACTCTCACTCACTCTCAGTCTCACTCTCACCTCACACACGCGCACACACACACAGGCCATCACTTTAGGGATCTGAATAAATAGAGTGGCAAAAAGTTGTGGGCTCAACTCACTGAGAGCTGAACTAATCAGGAAAATTTGTTCCAGAAAAATACTTTCAAGGAGAAATGTTTGGAAATAAGTTTGATTATAGCCATAAGGCCATTTTAAGATTCCACTATATAACCACCAGTAGTGTTTTATTCCTTATTAAGGTATTTGCAGGATTTGAGACATATTTACCCTTAAAGACATTTTTTAGCAAAGAAAGGAGCAAAGTGGCCCCTGCAGAACAAGGTAAAAGGCTGCACTGGCATCGAGTCCAGTTCTTGGAATAGTGGCTGTTGACCTCCACAGTGGCCTCAGCAGCCCCAACATGGCGAAGGGTGAAGGGCGGTCCTGGCCATGCAGGTCTGCTTTCTGATCCCCGGCATCTGTCACTAGAGACAGCCGGTGATGAGTTCCACAATTTTATAACTTTTGGCTGTCATCCCAATAACAAGTCCTAAGCTACCCTCTTCCCCTCTGTAAAATTCTACTTCTTTGCTCTGGCCTTTCCACCAAGAGCTTTTTGAAATAGTGAAAACTGGGCATAGCACCTCACTGCCTTCATGTACAATCAGCAGATTTTTCTGCTTTTGCTGCCTCTGATGCCTGCACCTCCTCTAGCAAGTACTTGAGGATTGAGGCAGGAGTGGACAAGCTAGGCACCAAATGATGAAGGAAACGTATATTTTTCTTGGCTTCTTCCATGGATATGTGACCGAAAAGCAAGGAGTTGGTCATTTCTATAGTGTGTACAACACCTAGAACAATTAGGATATTTAACTGATACGGACAAGTAGAGAATAACTTGTCCATAGAAGTAGGGGGAGGTTGAGCTGAACAGAAAGAGTGGTAGGAAGAAGAGTCTTGGCAGGCATAGTGACGCATACAGACGTATTGTTGCAGTTCCCAGGTCAAAGTTTGAGCCCAGGATCAAACCAGAAGGGAAGTCTTAGCCAATCCATGGGGTCAGGGTAAAGATGGAACTCAGAGTAGGGGTTGAGGGTTAGGCTAGAACTGCCCAGGAAGCTCAGAGCACATCCAGCCTAAGACGAACAAGACTGCCAAGCCCATGAAAGGACTGCTTAGCCTCTGCCTTGGCTTTATTTTTGATTGTTTGGGTTTTTTTTTTAAAAGACAGAGTCTCACTATGTTATTCTGGCTGGCCTTGAACTCACTATGTAACCCAGGCTTTAACTCTTGGGGATCCTCCTGCCTCCCAAGTGCTGGGATTACAGATGTGCGCCATCACACCCAGCCTCTGCTTTGGTTTTTAAAATCTTGATTTATTGGCAGATTTTTCTTTAACTTCCAGAGTTAACCAGGTTCTGTTGATGTGACTGGTGTTTGCTTTATGGTCAGCAAGCTAAGTGCTCCCAGAGGCCTGGCCAGCTAGAGAGCTTTATTGCATCAGCTCTCTGCCCACCATGTGCCATAACTTGGCCTAATTCTGGGGAAGCACAAAGAAGCGTGGAGAATGAACTGCAGCTCTTGCCACCAGAATATAGTCTGGTCATGGAAACGTGGCCTAAACATGTAAGTAAACAGCACAAATGATAAATAATCCAACAAGGAAGAGAAGAGATTTGATAAGGCAGAAACACTATTTGTGGTCAAATGGGTTGTTACATGCCAGAGGAACAGAGAATTGGGAATAATCTCTTTGGGCTGGAGTTGTCTGGAAAAGGAGAGATCTGCACCCACTGGCTTGCAGGTGAATAGGAGAAGCACTGGAGGCATGCCAGGTGGGGGAATGCAATGTGAGTGCGATGCTAGGAAGTGCAGGGAACAGTCTCCATAGCGTGAGAGACCCGTTTCAGTAAGTGGGAGTTCAGGGAGGTTAATGGTTGAAGTTGGAGCCAGTGAGGTAGTTGGAGCAAAAATGTAGTGTCGAGTCCTCTTGGACACTTAGGAGTCATTGAAAATTTTTAGGTAGGGGATTGAAATGTTCAGAGATGTTTTAGGAGGATAAGTCATGGCCAAGTGTAGGTACTTTAAAGGGAGAAGGAGTGCTCAGGTAGAACAGATGTTTGTATCTGCATCATTGCTATGACTGGAAAGTGACAAATGTTTCAGCCTACAAAAGTGGGAAATTGTACCGCTGATATCTATTGGTGTATTGAGAGGAACAGTTAATGTTTACATTTTTTTTTTTCTTGACCAATTTTGCATGCTTATATCTGGTAATCTGAACAACTAATTTGAAGACAACAATATACAATATAACAAGCATTGTTGAATTCTACCATCTTGTTTAGTGAAGCTCTGTATTGTTTCTAATGTGTATTTTATTACTTTTTATTTTCTTTAATTGTTTGATCAATCTTATATTCTTACATCTGGTAATCTGAGCAACTTCATTAAAGATAACAATGTGTAATGTAACAGCCATTGTTAATTCTATCATCTTGTTTTGAAATCCTGTATCATTTTTATTGTTTTTGTGTTGTTTTGTTTTTGTCTCTGTTATTTTGTTGTTTTTTTCTCTTTAAAATAATAAAAAAAAGAGAGAGAAATAAAGAATTGAATGCGAGACACTTGAAGGAAGGAGAAATTGAGACTTGGTACCTTCTGTGTATGCCTGTGGAGGTAAAGAATCATCCAATGTAAAGCCAGTTGGAAACTAAGTAACTAGAAGAGTATTTTATGAATAGAAATTCAGATGTCAGGATGGAGGATGAGGTTTGGTTTGTAGGAAAAGATAGGGAGTTCAGCTTTGGAACATCATCTTTGATGTCAAAGCAGGAAGCAAAAGTATATCACTGGAGCATAGGAGGGGGGCTGGGCCTGTGATAAACATGTGGGAGTTGCCTGCATGGAGATGACAGTTTAAACTGTTTAAATGGATGACTTGAGAGAACAGAGTCAGGACATTGGAAATGCCAGGACTTGAAAGAAGAAAGAGGAAGAGGAGGCACCCAAGCATAGAGTGTGCAGTGGACACTGGGAGGAGGTTACTGATTCACACCAGCCAGATAAGAACATCGAGAAGGAAGTTGTGGTCAGCAGTATCAGATGTTGCAGAGAAGTTAAGGAGAATAGGGGCTGACAAAAGGCCACTGGATTAGGCAATTAGGAAGTCATTTACCTTTAAGAACTCAGGCATATGTATGTGAATAGGGGGAGGGGGAGATGGATTAAGAAGTGAGTGGTGAAGAAAGGGGAGCTAACGTCCCTGACCTGCCTTTAAGAAGGAAGGAGTTAGAGGGAGGAGTATGGCTGGTGCTCCTCTTGCCTTCTGTGTGAGTCTGAGTGCGTGTACACGTGAGGGCAGGAGCAAAAGATTACATCTGTGGTTTCTTTGGCCAACCTTTGTTCCATACGCATCAGGGACTTGGATCTAGTTAACAGGGCAGAGTTGAAAGCCACAAGAGAAAGAACAGCAGAGGAACTTTCAGAGAAAGTGGGAGAAGAGGGATCACATGGATGGGGATTTTAGAGTTAGAGAGGAGAACACATCTTCCTCTGGGACTTGAGGGACGGACTAGAGGGAGGAGGATGGATGTAGATACAGGAGTGTTTTGAAATGAAGCAGCAGAGAAAAGGGGAAAATCAGGCCGAACCCTGGCTTCTGGGTGAAGTCGTCGGTGGATCACCTGCTGAGAGAGGGTGGGCAAGGGAGGATGAAGGGGAGATGTTAAATAACCATTCCTGGTAGTGCTGGCAGCTCACAGAACTGCAAACACCGAAGTGTTTATCAGAAGTGAGATGTGTTTATCACTGCAGCTTAGAGGACGGGCAGTATTTGTTTCTACTTTTACCCTTAAGGACTTAACCTTTCTCGTCATTATTTTTTCTTAAGACATTTTGTATGATTTTTTTTTTTCCTTTTGTTTTTAGCCTCACCATAGTTATAAACCGTACAACTATTCTAGAATAATGGTCTGAAAGATTTATAAGGTTACTTGAATTGTGGTCACCTTGGTAGGAAATTCTAGTTATTTTCTAGTGAAGGTTATTTATTGATACATGAATTTAGCAGAAAAAGTGAGTGAATGAAACACATGAATTATGCTACCTACTCCCCCTGCCTAGAAGGCTGATATAAGGTTTTAGGCTTTTTTAGTTGAAGCCATCAGATGGACTGTTAATCCCTTCAACCCTGCAGAATCCATTTAAGACAACCAAGATACCAGGCAGTAATGATGTCTCATCCAGAATTCGGCAGATCATGAGTGGCCCCATGATGGGGCCTGCTTGGGAAGATGTTTCCGCATTGCAGGGAACCTGGCTCTCAGGGTCTGTTGGCAAGGCAGAGCCAACATGTGGTGGAGCTATGTATGACAGTGACCTGGGCCACTTGATATAGTCTGAGAGTAGAAGAAGGATCTACTTCCACCATAAATAATATTCATAAAACTTCATGCGTAACAAAGTCCTGACACCCTAATTCGTTATGTGAATCGTGACTGCTTCTTCTGGCCTCCTCTTGGTGGCGGTTGGAACGCCAGAACCACTTGGTTCCACAAAGCAGGAGATAAGAATGTGCATCTGGTGGCACAGAGCATTTTATAAACTTGTTTTTAAGTTGGAGGAAAATATGACTCGAGCCATTGATCAGAATCCAGATGAATCTGCTGAAGTTATGCATGTAAGACCACCTCAAATATGTATATATTTTCCCTTTCTTTTTCTCTAGGTATGGCCTCACATGTGCAAGTTTTCTCCCCTCACACCCTTCAGTCAAGTGCCTTCTGTAGTGTGAAGAAACTGAAAGTCGAGCCGAGTTCCAACTGGGACATGACTGGGTACGGCTCCCACAGCAAAGTGTACAGCCAGAGCAAGAACATCCCGCCTTCGCAGCCAGCCACCACAACCGTCAGCACCTCTTTGCCAATCCCAAACCCAAGCCTACCTTACGAGCAGACCATCATCTTCCCAGGAAGCACCGGGCACATAGTCGTAACATCAGCAAGTAGCACTTCTGTCACGGGGCAAGTCCTCGGCGGACCACATAACCTAATGCGTCGCAGCACTGTGAGCCTCCTTGATACCTACCAAAAATGTGGACTCAAACGTAAGAGTGAGGAGATTGAGAACACAAGCAGCGTACAGATCATTGAAGAGCATCCACCCATGATTCAGAATAATGCCAGCGGGGCCACTGTAGCCACTGCCACTACATCCACTGCCACCTCCAAAAACAGTGGCTCCAACAGTGAAGGTGACTATCAGCTGGTGCAGCATGAAGTGCTGTGCTCCATGACCAACACTTATGAGGTTTTGGAGTTCTTGGGCCGAGGGACGTTCGGGCAGGTGGTCAAGTGCTGGAAACGGGGCACCAATGAAATTGTGGCCATCAAGATCCTTAAGAATCATCCTTCGTACGCCCGGCAGGGCCAGATAGAAGTGAGCATCCTGGCCCGGCTGAGCACAGAGAGTGCTGATGACTACAACTTCGTACGGGCCTATGAGTGCTTCCAGCACAAGAACCACACGTGCTTGGTCTTTGAGATGTTGGAGCAGAACCTCTATGACTTTCTCAAGCAGAACAAGTTCAGCCCCTTGCCCCTCAAATACATTCGCCCAGTCCTCCAGCAGGTAGCCACAGCCCTGATGAAACTCAAAAGCTTGGGTCTTATCCACGCCGACCTCAAACCAGAGAACATCATGCTGGTGGATCCATCCAGACAACCATACAGAGTAAAGGTCATCGACTTCGGCTCTGCCAGTCACGTGTCCAAGGCCGTGTGTTCCACCTACTTGCAGTCCCGGTATTACAGGTAAGACTCTTGGCCCCCGCACAGTCGGGTCTTGAAAGGCCCAGAGCACTCACTGAGAATGCAGTGTCGTCACCAAGAGGGAGACAGGGTGTGCTAGTGGGTACTGTCCTCATGTGACAGTAATGTATTGGGCAGTTAGGATGTGGGCACATTGAAATGACAATGAGAAGCCAAGAATGGAGCCAAGTAAAGTTCTTGGTCATAACGTTAGAGCTGGAAAGCACTGCTGGGAATGAGAGAAGAACAGAACAGAGAAATTGGGTCCTCGTGGATGTGGAGGATCTAGACAGCTGGTGGAGAGAGAGGGCGTTGGCACGCCATTCAAAGGCAAGGTGGCAGCATTGTGCAAGCCTCCTCCAGGAGACAAGACAGACTGCTGCCTGGCCAGATCAGAGTATGTGAGGAGTGGGAGAGACGGTTGAAAAGAGAGTTGGGACAGGTTGGGGGGTTCTTAAATGTGTATCTCTCAACTTGGAGCAAGCCTTGGAAATTTGAATAGCCAAGAGCAGCAGGTTGAAGGTGATGTTCTGAGAAGACTGTATCCATGTGGAAGGGCCTGGAGGAGGGGAAGCACTGTGCTTTGTACCTGGATGGAAGAATTAGATACATCTTGTTACTTAATGAAACGCCCAGGGGTGGGTAGCGTTATAAAAAGTGAGGTTCATCTAGCTCACCATGCTGGACGTTCAGGGGCATGGTGCCAGCATCATCTTGACTCTAGTGCGGGTTTTGTGGCAGATGGCACCACAGTGGTGGAGTGCGTATGGGAACCAAAAGTCACATGGCCAGACAGGAAGCCAGAGAGTGACTCAGGCTCAGGTGTTCACAACAACTAGCACTCGAGAGGATTAACTTGGGGTTTGGTACCTTAACTCCTTCCTTTTGGTTTTTGATGGATTGCTTGGTTTTATGATACTGGGGCTTGAGCCCGGAGCTATACACGTTCTACACAGCACCCTACCACTGAGCTGCACCTCCAGCACTTTATTTTTTGAGACAAGGTCTCACTAAATTGCTCCGGTTGGCCTCAAATTTGTAATCCTCCTCTCTCAGCCTGTAAGTCCCTGGTGTTACAGGCCTGTACCACATGGCTGGCCCTACCTTAAGCCCTTCTGAGGGAAATGCAGCCGGTGACCTCTATCCAGGCCCCGCCTCTTCCCACCTGCCACCATTGCCACACTGAGGGCCACGCTTCCAACACACTACCCCTTGGGATAATACGAGAAAGACTCATTCCCTCAGACATTTGCCTCTAACATGGGCGGGGCATAGTGCCAGATGCAGGGATGTAGATGAGGCCCTGCTGTCCTGGAGTTTACAGTTGGGGCAGGGGTGGTTATACAGGGGACCTAGTCCCCATAAACAGGACCCACACTTCTGTGGTGGGGTTCAGCACAGGTGTTGTTTGACCACCTTTCCTCGGGACCCCAGTGTGCAGCCAGTGTTGAAAACCGCTGCTGTGGTGGGATGGGATAAAGCACAGGCGTTGGAGTCAGGACAGCCGGGGGCTGCCCATGATCCCTCTGCCACCTGACCTGGGCCGCCTGCCTACCTACCGCCTGTGCACCTTCTTCCTGAGCTGTGAACAGGGCCCCCATCAGCAGCCTGTGCTGTGCATGGGGCCAGCCCACGTGGTGGTGTGGTGAGGAGCTGGCAGAGATGGAAAGCAAGGGTTGGACTTGTGGAACAGGGATGGGCTGCACCTGAGGGAGTGCTGAACCGTCCTTGGGGGAGGAAAGTGGTGAGAAACAGCAAGCTCCCTAGAGAACTTCGGGCTGACCCACGTCTGAAATAGGCCTGGGGGAAGTACAAGCAGAGTCCCACGACTCCTCGCCACCTGGGACCTTCTGCCCACACCTCGGGTGGATATGCTTTCTCCACGCCCCGTCCAAGGCCGCAGAAGATGGGCTGCAAAGTGTGGCAGAGCACAGCTGGCACTGCTGACCTGTTACCCACTCCTGAGGCCTCCAGCCCCTTTTCCCAGCTTGCTCCTCTGGGGCCCAGCCGTGCTGCCACAGTGCTCTTGCAACGCTCCCCCACCCCCCCTTGCTCCCAGCCCCTGTCACTGGGGTCTTCACTCAGCCAGTTCACAAAGCTTCTCCACCTGGCTGTCTTCCCTCTTCCCATTCCCCTCGGAAGGGTGTTCCTGGGTCAGAGCAGGTCGTAGCTAGCCTCCTCGGTCTGGCCTTTGGTGAGTCTTTTCCTCTGATTCCGAAGTTAGGAGGAGCCCCAAGAGCCTCTGCTTTCTCAGGAGGGACAGATCTGTTGCCAGCCCTGGCCATCTCCCTCTCTTCTCTAACTCAGCCTTGCAGTGTGCTGCCGGACCCCTGGCATGGAGGGAAAGGTGTGCCCGGTGCTCAAGTGGGGCCTGGAGGGCCAGAAACCGTGGACACCTCCTTGTGCCCAGAGGGGGAGTTGGCAGAGATAGATGCTCTGTGGTTCTCCCAGGAATGTGCCCAGACCTTCCTGGAGAGCCAGCTCTGCGCGGCCGCCCCATGTGGGTACTAGCATGCCTGTGGAGTGGCAGGTGCTGGGGCTAACTCTCTACTCGCAGCAAGCAGGAGGCTGTTCTTGTCACTTTCTGTCTAGGTTTGCAAATTCAGCACGCCAAAGGCTATTTCTTCCCAGATCTTGGCCTGAGTTTAGGATGAACCGCAGCCAAGTCAGGGGCTGCACGGAGTTTCACTGTTTAGTTAACCTGCACTGCTGTTGGTGAACAGAAACGGCTTCAGTAAAATTTGCTAAAAATTGAGCATGGCAACTTGTAGAAAGTCTGTAAAATCTGTGTTTAACAGAAAACACACCCTTGGAGCAAAAACTTGATGTATGGAAGAAGCTCAGTTGGGGACTCTTAAGCCCTTCTGTCCGTGTGACTCCTCCCCACGGACTTGGCTTTCGGGCTCTGGTCACAGGAAGTCTGGGCGTAGGAGTCTGTGTGAGAGCAGGGGGCAGGTCTGAGTCCGCTTCCTGGACTGCTCAGGTCACCCCCTCTGTCAGATCAGGCCTCTCAGAGCTCTCCTCCCAAGGTGGGGGTGATGGGGGTGACTAGCTTCCTGACAGTCCCAGGCCTTGTCACGCCAGTACAGACACACACTCACATTGGGTGCACACCATTTCCCTCTGAGAGGCCCTTCCTTTGGGTGTGACTGTACCCCTTTTCTTTAGGCTTTAAGTGACTGTTGCCTAAAATTCTGGACAGGGCAGTCTCTTTCTTGTCATGGGTACCGTGGCATTTGGGTCCTCATGGCCTCACTATGACCAGCCCCAAGGCCAAGGGCACAGGCAGTGTCAAAGCAACTCATCTTTTCTGCCTGGAATTAGGCTTCATGTCCAAATTGGTCCCAATGCTCTGTCACTCCCTGGCCCACATCTGAGCCTTGGGGTGTTCTGCTGCCTCACAGATCGATAGGAGCTTTTGAGGACAGTCTTTAACTCTGTCACTGCTCATCCTAGCTGTGTGAGAGGGCTAACTCCAGGCCACATTTATCAGGCTGATTTTCCTGATTGCTCTGCTGTTACCTGGGGGAGAGGAGGCAAGAGGAGATCTTTGATTATCCACTGTTAAGGCCCATTTCTGAGAAGGAAGAAACTGTCGGGGACATTGAGAGACTGTCTGCACATTTGAGCTACCTGGGACACAGATGTCATCACACATTAAGGTGGCCTCCTGGCAGGGCTGTCAGATTGGCCTTTGCCCTGCAGTGCCTGTTTTCCCCAGGAGTTCCTATATTTGAGTCTGACACATTAGCCACTGGGGACATCTCACTTTCAAACAGAGGAGCACTTACGTGGCCCTTCATTATTATAATTCATACCGTATTAAATGAATCAGCTACCGTCATCCCCACTTGGTGGCCAGGAAACAGTAATAGAGGCCTCTGTCCTCACCCTGGGGGACCTGGGAAAGGAGGCAATATCCTGGGAGCCACTTCTTTCCCACAGCTGTTAGGCATTTGCTTGGCTGAGGTTGGGGCCTTGTTGGTATTGATAGTCCACAAGGCAAACCCGTGTTTTTCAGGAAACAAGGGTGCTTTTTCAGGTTTTTCATGTCTGATGCAGGGGTATCCCCTTTCAACTTGAAGGTCAGTTACATGGTCAGCTGTCAGCTGCACTAGTTCTTAAACTTTGTTGGACATACATATCTCCTGGAGAGCTTGTTAAGAGAGATTTCTACCGGAATCCTGTCCCAGAGCTAGTACACCCTCCTCCGGGAGAGAGCCCTGTGCTCCCCGTAGTCTCTACCCTTGCTTGAAAGTGGAGATGGGCGGTGCTAGTGGATTTAGAACCATTCTTTGAGAAACACTGCTGGGGGGAGAGAGGGATTTCCTTAGTGGTGTCGCCTTTCAGGCTTTCACACCCAAAGGAGCCAGAGGCAGGTAATCCTACTCATGTGTATTAGCTCACCCTGGATGCCTTGCCTTCTCCTTATTTAATTCTATACGGATGCCAGGTTTTGAGGTTTCTGTTTTCTTTGCCTTTCTTTTCTTTCTTTCTTAGCAAGCAAAAAATGGGTACTGGGGTATTTTCATTCTCAGCAAACTAAAAATAAGAACAAATACTAAACTCAGAAAATACAAAAAATACACTATTCAGGCAAAAGACAATCAGTGATTAAAATTTATAGAATTCCATTTTTGCTCTGCAATATTGAAAATGGTTTTTTGTGCAGCCTTTTTTTTTGGAGACACTTAAGACCATTACGAGGATCCTAAAAATGGGCATAAAAAATTAGGACATAAAAGAAGAGAAAAAAATCTAGGACATAAGAAATTATTTTCAGAATAATTTAACCACCTAGCAGTCTACCCCAACCATCACTCAGACAGCTCATTTATTTACATACTGAGTGTCCTGAGCCTTGCTCGGGCAGGTGTCATTTCAACCAGTTGATTCTTGTATTGAATACATTTGATAAAATTGTTGTTTTTATATTTCCTATTATATTATCCTATAAAATTAATGGAAAGAATATGCAAGTTTTGGTCACCCTATATTTGAAT